GGTAAAGCAGGAAGTGTCTTTTTAGTTGTTTTCAGCTTATGTAACCCTTTTCCTAAACGTAAGCTTACACCTGACCCTGAGGACCAAACCTAAACTTAACCCTCTTACCCTTGTGCCTAAACCTAACCAAGACCGTAAACCTAACTGCCAGACCCTTTACTCTAAACCTAATTACGTGAAGCTATTATGAACGCTAACAAAGCTAAAAATAGAGCCTATTATCATCGCTAACAACGTACTTTTAAACCCACTGGGAGGTACAGGAGGGGCAGTCTGACCGCTACATATGGGGATGATATCAACTAATAACGATCATTTAATGGCTGATAACATCTGAAGCGGGTGCAGCAAAAGTAAGGAATACCTTCAGGAGGATTAAACCGTACAAGGCAACAGGCCCAGACAACATCCCCGGAAAAATGTTGAAAGAATGTGCCGATCAGCTCTGCAAGGTGCTGGCAGATATCTTTAACACCTCACTTACCCTGGAGACAGTTCCCACCTGCCTGAAGACTGCCACCATCATCCCAGTCCCAAAAAGCTCTACAGTGACTGGTCTGAATGACTATCGGCCAGTGGTCCTCACCCCGATAGTCACTAAATGCTTTGAAAAACTGGTCATGACTCACATCAAAACAACCATCAACATCAACGAGGACCCACATCAGTATGCACACCATGAGAACTGATCAACAGAAGATGCCACCTCCTCTGTGGTCCACACTGTGCTCACCCACCTGGAGCAGAAAAACTCTTACGTCCGTATGCTCTTTGTGGACTTCACATACACCTTCAACACCATGATCCCCCAAACCCTGATGGACAAACTATCCACACTAGGACTAAGCCCCTCCATTTGCAACTGGGTACTAGACTTCTTAACAAACAGACCACAGTTAGTGAGGATCCACAACTTCTCCTCCTCCACCATAACCCTCAGCACTGGCTCTCCTCAGGGATGTGTGTTGAGCCCTCTCCTGTTTACTCTGCTCATGTATGATTATACAGCTACCCATCCAGGCTGTCATATTGTAAAGTTTGCAGATGATACAGCGGTGGTGGGATGCATCACAAACAATGATGAGTCCAGCTACAGGGAGGAGGTGGAACACCTGGAGAGCTGGTGCAGAGAGAATAACCTTCACATCAATGTGAAGAAGACAATGGAGATGACTGTGGACTTCAGAAGGAACAAACACATCTACACCCCCCTGAACATAAGAGGATCTGTGGTGGAAGTGGTCTCCAGCTACAAGTACTTGGGTGTACACATGAATGACAACCTCAGCTGGAGCAACAACACTACCAGCCTGATCAAGAAAGCTCATCAGAGACTCTACTTTCTCAGGCAGCTGAGACAAGCTGGTCTGAGAAGCTCAGTCCTCACCTCCTTCTACAGGTGTGCAGTGGAGAGCATCCTGTGCTCCAGCATCAACGTGTGGCATGGAGGCTGCACAGCTGCAGAAAGAAAAGCTTTGCAGAGAGTGGTGAAGGCTGCACAGAAGACTGTCGGAGTCAGTCTCCCCACCATCATAGACATCTACACCTCCAGATGCAGGAAGAGGGCCACCTGCATCATGAAGGACCCCACTCACCCAGCACACACACTATTTTGCCCCGCTCCACTCAGGAAGGAGGTTGAGGAGCATTAAGTGTAGAACCACTAGACTGAGGAACAGCTTCTACCCTGAGGCTGTTAGATTCATGGATCTCTAACCAAGATCAACACTGTGAAAAACCACATCATGTTGCTGCTGATCTGTTTCATGTTGCTGCTGATCTGTTTCATGTTGCTGCTGATCTGTTTCATGTTGCTGCTGATCTGTTTCATGTTGATGTGTTCATGCGTGCTCATCTGCTCACACAGACTCATGCTCATGCTGCTATTCGATGTAATGTTTTATGCTATTAGTGCTTAGTGTATTTTTGTTGATGTTTTTCTTAGTTCATATCTTAGATGTTATTATTGTTTTCTTTTACATTTTATTGTTGGATGTAACTGGGACCCTGTGTACATAAATTCGCTCCACCACATGTACCACATGAGGTGCGAATAACAATAAAGAATCTCTGACTCAGATAGATAGATAGATAGAGTATATATATATATATATATATATATATATATATATATATATATATATATATATATATATGTGTGTGTGTGTGTATATATGTTTAACACTGTAACATATTATCAACCAGCAGAGTCAATAAAGACACACAGTAATATTCTGGATTAAAGCTTAAATGATGAAGACGTTAATTTTAGGAATGTTAGAATATTTTCTTTCTTATCCTCTGACACAAAGGCTCTTTATCACCCGTCTCTAGAAGGAAGAGGAGGGTGTTAAAGTTTTTGCCTTTTAGTCTTAAATATCTCATGAAACACTTGATAATTTATCTTGAAACCTTCTGACAGCCATCATCATCTTACATCTACAACTGATTGACATTTGGAGTCAACCCAATTCAAGATGGCCACCACAGATGATCAACCATGTCAAACATAAACATGGCAATAACTCTTTTAATGTAGCTGATACGGAGCTAAAATTTAGTGTCGTAGTAACTGGGAGCTGTTCACAACACACTCTTAGAGCTAACAGATTGCAGAAGGTCTTTGTTAAAAACGTTTGGTGCTAACTTTTGGACTCAGTCATCTCCGTCTGTTAGAAAAATATCTAATGAGCTAGAGAACATATTTTAATGAACCTCTTAGAAAGTTATCACTGGACATACATCTACAACTGATTAACTTTTAAAGTCAACCAGATTTAAGATGGCTGCCACAGCTAACCAACGATACCACACACAAAAACAACTACAACTCAGTCATTTCTACAGGTATTAAGCTAGAAGTTGGTGTGGTAGTAGCTGGGTGTCATTCACAACACAAGCTCTAAGAACTGATGGATTGCACAAGATTTTAGTTTAAAACTTCAGCATGAAAGATGCACTCCTTCAGTATTTATTAATGTAGCGTTTGTCAAAGTGTATATAGTGAGATGAAAAATCTTTATGTCAGATCATTTGTTTGCAGCTATTCAGAGTTTTGCTTAATTAAATATTTAAAACAAAAAGGGGGGTGTCTCCTCTCATAAAGGGCATTTCTAAAGTTTTTCCACACCGATTTAACGCAGCCTTCCTGCATTCGTATTCTCTGCAAAGTCCACAGATGGCCTTCACACGTCTGATCCAGCCGTGCAACAATGAAATGTTCTGCCTTAGCAACACTTTGGAGAAGCAGCTCCTCACCACGCTTGGCACGTTATGTAATTTTCATCTCAGCTGATCCAACTGAGCTTTTCTCCCTGGAACAAACGGGGCTGGACAATGGTGTCACAACAGTTTTATATCTTCATTACAATGTTTCTGACTAAAAGTGCTGGGAGCAAGTCTTTGCATCAAACATAGACACATTATTTAACACTATGGGATCACAGTCAGTGACTCATTTAATAAAGATGGGAAATTACACTTTAACCTGAAAGTAAATAGCACGTTAGACACTTAGTGCTTGGAAAACTTTTAATTGACAAAAAAATGGAAGTTGAGAATTTAATTTAACATTCTAGACTTTTGCTAGCTTGAAGAAAATTGGCATACTGTATATCTTTATGTTAATTATAAGGCGACCCTAATGATTTTTTTTTTTAAACAATATGCTTATTAACTGATCAGTTGATATATTTCTATCAATATTCAGTGAACAAAAAAAATGTGCTGGAGCCATTAAACAAGTTTCTTCTTCATTGTAAGAATGTTTATGATCAATGCGATCATTTCTAGGAGCTAAAGGTTAAATGTCATTTTATATTTAGGAATAAGCTATTAAAATGTCACCAAATCTATAATGATGTTTACAGTAAAACTAATTGAGTTGAAGATAGACAGGATTAGATTTGTAAGTGTTTTGTTTTTGATGGGGACACATATAAAAATTAATTTTCCTTGTTTTTCTACAATTAATATTTCCCCATTATATTAATTAATAAGAAGAATGATGATTGATCCACACACCTGAGTCTCAGCACTGATATACACACACCTTCCTGTCATGAACCCAACACTCTGTTTATTTATTGATTGATTGATCAGAATGTGAGTATCAGCAGCAGATAACTCACTCAGAGGCTCCGGTTCCGTTGACAGCGTTTCCATCAGGAATCGGGTTCAGCTGGATCGGTTCTGGCTTCCTTCTCTTCTGCATGTTGATGATGATGATGGGCCACGCACCGGAAACGAGCGGCGGGAGATAAACAGCGAGCTGAGGAAGCGAAAGGACAATCCTGTGTTGAAGAGAGCAGCGGTGTCATGAGCTGCAGCAGGGCTGAAGAAGCTGCAGATGTTCGGAGCCGGACGGGCTCTTCCGGCCAGCGTGGCAGGACTTGGTGCAGCGCGCCCTCTGCTGGTGATGGATGATAATACAGGAGGAAAAACTGGTCAATTTCTCTATTCAAATTGTGGTTCAACTTTTTTAAGAAAAAAAAGCTCAAGAATCGGTGCGGTTTTATATGTAAAAATAAATAAATACATAAATAAACAACTCCCTGCATCATTATTGACTGACGAGGTTGTTCAGAAATAATAAACAGCGACTTTCATGACAGTTCCGATCTTAGGATTCAGTTTAAAGATAATGGACAATCAGTATCGTACCTGCTGCAGATTGTGCTTTGAATTAATTCAGTTTAGGGGAGAAATAAGTTCCCCGCAAATGGTGTTTTGAAAAGCTTCAGGGAACTTCCCCATAAGATTCTCTGAATAAAGTAAAACATTCAAAGAAAACTCTCTGAATGTTTTAAACGATTTAGACAAACGCTCCAGGACGTTAGCTCTGCCTTTCATTATGTGGCATTCAGGGAACATTTAGTGAATGTTCCCTCTATCAAAGGCAGGAATTTATGTGGAAATGGGGATCAGATGGGGCAAGGGGGTGCTACAGCTAGCTGCTGCTGCAGCAGATAATTATAAACTTCTCACTAAATAACTGTGATTGTAATTACTGTCTAACGGTGCTGTTTATATGTTACACTTTTGCTAGCCTTTAGCACAAAATATTAAAAACAAATAATTTGCTCAAAAAACAAGACAAAGATAAATGACAAATCAAACTTTCTTATGTGTAGCACATAAACAAATGATGGTGTTCATTCAGGAAACATGATTTATATACAGCATTTAAATTCCACCTGGGAAAATGTTTTATTCTAAATGTTTAATTTCATAGAATAGATGAATAGTATAAAGTAGAAAACCAAGAATTGTTAACAAATAAATAAATAAATGAAAGTCAAAAGTAAAATAATAAATAAAATTATAAAGTTTGTTTCTATATATATTTATTCTTTCTTTCGTGTCTAAAGCTACAGTTTTTTTTAACTTCCTTTAACTTCTTTATTTTATCAGATAAAAAAATAAAAAAATGTCATCATCGTCAATTTCTCAGTCCAAGTTTCTGGACATCCTCGGCTTCTGATTTATTTATTTCAGTTCAGCTTAAAAACATTTTACTCAGATTCTTGCTGAGATAAGCTACAGATATTTGACTTTCTACATTACTTAAATCTTAATAAAATACATTAAGATGACAAGTTTTACATTTATTTTATTGATTGCTTTATTTTGATCTATAAATGAGCTGAATTTCAACGACAGTCACTAATTCACTGTTACCATTGGAACATAAAACACTGGGATGTTTAGCTTGTCCATGAATGTGAAATAAACTATAAACAAACAACAACAAACAAAACAAAACAACAAAATACAATTTAAATTTTTAAGCAATAAGTGAGAATAGGAGGAACCCTCTACTGGTCTGTCCGTGCATGTTGTGAGCACAATAACTTGAAAGTAAGTGAGGTACAAACTTCCATTTTGGTGTGGGGCTGCATCTAGTGCTGAGAAAGGTTCCTAAAAAACAATCCAAGATGGCCACTGATGACCCCTGACTCTACCATGACACATGGTTGTGGATAAAATTGCTCCCTCTGCTCACCAGGATCCGTCACTCTGCACCACCTCAGACAAGAAAAACACTACTTCTGTTCAACAATTTTCAGTCAGGTCATCTGGACAGTTTCTTTTTATTGGTGCTGAACCAGTATGACATGACTGTCGACGAGAGAGAGAGCCGGCTTTGGAGGAGAGGGGGTGCCAAAGCCACCATCTTAGCACCAACATAACTGGTTTGTTGTTCCACTATTGAGTTAGCTGCTGGGGGAAGAATCAGTTTTGTGTTGTGTGTTTCCTTGACTGATGAAGCCTTCTGGATGGAAGGTGAAACGTTTCAGCACAAAAACAAAAAGAAACTGTCCAGATAACCTGTCTGAAAATTCAGGTGATAATGTTTTTGTCTGTGCTTGTTTTTACATCTGTTAGCAAAATATTTCATTAAACCCTGAACTTTTTTTTTTCAAAAAACTCTCACAAAGTAATCATTGAATGTTTGTCTGAGCCAATCTAAATCAAGATGGCCGTCACAGCTAATTGATATTAGCAACACAGAAACAGCCGTAACTCAGTTTTACAGTCTGTGAGCCAAATTTGTTGTGGTGGTAGTTGAGAGTTGCTCAAAACGCAAACGCTGAGCTCTACACGTTTCACAGCACCTGTGTCTAAATCTAAATCAACTCTTGGTCCACATTATACGTCTGCTAGCAAAATATTCGATGCTAGGCCTTCCACTGTCTTTTGTTTTCACTATTGGTGTGTGACACTTTTTATATCACAGTGAAGCTTTTGGACAAGAGAGTTATAAATCTTGCAAACGGCTTCTTTTTCTCTTTTGTGCAAGAAAAGACTGAATTTAGCAAATTATACAAAATATATTTAATTAATTTTTGTCTGTTTCTCCTCTAAGGTTACAGTTTTGAACAGTGCATCCTTCTCTTTCGTCTTGTCTCTCCTCCTTCCATGAACTGCTCAAACAGTTGAACATTTTATTAGCACCATTTGTGCAAACAGCATTATCTTTGTGTTTGGCTGTCACTGAACAAAAGCAGAATATAAAGTTACAGATCTGTAATACTGTTTGCTGCTTTGTCAACATCTGTCTGCTCTACCTTCCACACAGCTTGGAGCTGAGATGGTGTAGAGGCAGGGCAGCCGACTTGGAACCCAAAAGCCCTGGGCTCAATCCCCAGTCATTTCACATCTTGTGGTGTCTCTGAGCAGGACACCCAATCCCAAATTGCTCCCCAGGCAGCATACATAGCTGCCCACTGCTCCACGTGGGTCTATCCCAGGCGCGATGGGTTAAATGCAGAGAGCCAATTTCATCTTTGTATGGGAACACACAACGATGAAAACACATAGCACTTTATTTTATTTTATTATAACTTCTAGGTGCATCAACACTGCCCTTTGACAGTGTTTCTTCTCATTATTATTAATGCATAAACCCAAATGTTAAAACATTTTGTTTGTACACCTCTGACAGTTTTTCATTAGAGACCTCAGATTCCTGTCCAGAAAAGAAAGAAATAAAAAAGAACAGACACAATTTGCCCTCATTGGAGAAATAAAGCACAACTGTTTCTGAATGGTTCTCCTCCTTTAGGACTCCATCCATAATGAATGAGTGATGTGTTAGCTTGTCTGTCTGTACCATGCAGATTAGACATCTGACTGAAACTGAAAACAACTGTCAGGTTTACAATCTGCACTGCAGTCTCTGCAGATTTCTCCTGACAGACACAAGGCCGGAGTGCCGTGCCTGGTTTACCAACGGCATCATGCCGCCAAAATCATATTTTTCTTCATAAACCAGGACTGACAGAAAGGAAGATTGGTTGTGTCCTATCTTTGAGCACAGGGACCTTGTGAATTGTAAGACCAGGCTCGCCTGCCCTCCCAGCATGAAGCAAATTGATTTCCTTCACTGAGGGGTTGGACCTCGACACATTCTTACCAGAACATGATTTGAATGGTGAGAACTGAATTCCACCACACAAAGTCAAACATGATTTGAACCATTTTGCGTGGCTTTATTTCTTGTGAACACATTAGAAGGGCTTCATAAGGTTCAAAAAAATTGTTGACACATGAAGATGAAATACTTCTTTTTCATACAAGCAAAACCAGTGTTCACTTAAAAATGCAGCTGTTTAGTCCGGTGGCCCTAAGGTGTAAATGAACAACATTTGAAAAAACGGAATTACATTTGAAAAAAAACAGAATCACATTAGAAAAAACAGAATCACATTAAGCCAAAGTGGAAGTGGCTGAAGCGGAAGTGGCCTGAATCAGATTAGAAAAAACATAATTACATTTGAAAAAAAACAGAATCACATTAGAAAAAACAGAATTACTTTTGAAAAAACGGAATCACATTAATCCAAAGAGGAAGTGGCTGAAGCGGAAGTGGCCCGAATCACATTAGAAAAAACAGAATTACATTTGAAAAAAACAGAATCACATTAAGCCAAAGCGGAAGTGGCTGAAGCGGAAGTGGCACAAATCACATTAGAAAAAACATCATTACATTTGAAAAAAACGGAATCACATTAGAAAAAACAGAATTACATTTGAAAAAACAGAATCACATCAGAAAAAACGGAATCACATTAAGCCAAAGAGGAAGTGGCTGAAGCGGAAGTGGCCCGAATCACATTAGAAAAAACAGAATCACATTAGAAAAAACGGAATCACATTAGCCAAAGCGGAAGTGGCTGAAGCAAAGTGGCCCGAATCACATTAGAAAAAACAGAATTACATTTGAAAAAAAACAGAATCCCATTAGAAAAAACAGAATTACATTAGAAAAAAACGGAATCACATTAGAAAAAACAGAATTACATTTGAAAAAAACAGAATCACATTAGAAAAAACAAAATTACATTAAGCCAAACAGGAAGGTTTTTTTTTTTACTTTATTAACAGCATAAATCCAAACAACAGAACAATATACAGTACACGCACAACCAAGATATGTGTGTACTGTATATTCTAAAAAAGTTGTCAGGTCCTCTGGATGTTCAAAAAACAACAATAATAAATAAATAAAATCGTAGAAATTTTTCATCCGAAAGGCTTCTTCAGTCTGAGGAGCTGTGTTTAGTGACGTAAACCAAATCTTCCAATACAGTCATACAGCAAACAATATGTTTGTGCATACAAAAGGAATGACAAAAAATTATTACATCCAATGTTCATCCCATGTTCGTCTAAATACATAAAGACCTCCGGATCATCCCCCTTGTGGAGTAAGTAAAGGTGTCAGGGAAGTTTGTCTCTCTGGTCTACATGTGTTTTCAGGGTTTAAAATGGCTCAGCATCGTGCTGCT